ATGTACCAATAAAAGAATTTAATAAAAAAAATATTTTTTGTGTGTTTCATTTAAACCAAGATTCTCAACATCTGACTTTATGAGATAATTTTGGACACAAATTTAGTAAAACTTCAATAACTCATGTAGGAAAATTCCATTCTTAGTCACTTATTTAAAACGCCAAATCTATGCAACTTGCTCCAAATATGTTTCAAAGTGAAAGTTTTGCTATAAATAACAGGAATAATTAATACTGGAGAATTCTACAATGCACAGTTTTGCTTTTACTATATAATACATGAGAAAAAGCATGTAGGCTAAAGTCAACTTTACTCTAATAATCTTGAAACACACAGGTAGAATGTCAGTCACTATAAAATGCCATATAACTAAAAGATTTTACAAATCATTTTAGGTCCCTAGTAACAGATTTTAAAATAAAATTGCTATGATTGATTTATTTCAATATACTTATTTGATATAGATTGTTTTTATGGATTGAAATTTAATGTATGACAAAAGTTCTGTTTGACAAATGAAAGAATCTATGGACATTTAATGTGGTCTTACCAGAGCAATACATTTCATTTCAATAATATTTAGGGGTGGTCCAGGAGAGGAGTGGATCTCAAGATGATACCAGATTCTTAAATTGCTAAGATCATCTTCTGAAATACAAAACAAAACAAAGACTAAGAAAAGTAAAACAAAAACACAGTACTTAATATAGGTTTCAGAATCCCATACTTAACATACAAATTGAACATCATGAGCAGAATTTGTAAAATGCACTGATTTGTGAAGAGATCTGAGGGGAATGCTGGGCTTGGTGGTGCATGCCTGAAATGTCAAGCACTCAGGAACCTTAAGCAGGAAGACTGCTATGAGGTGCAGGCCAGCCTGGGCTGCATAGTAACTTCAAGGTCAGCCTGAACTACATGGCCAGAACCTGTATCTGAAAACTGGAGAGAGGAAGAGGAGAGGACTGGAAAGAAGAGGGAAGATAAGAAACTGCTTTCATCATAGTTTGTGATCAATAAGAGAAGCCCATTCTGTATATGCCATGAGAATATCCTGTCCAAGCTCCTGGTCTTATACTGTTCCAGTGACTCATCATATTCGTCACTAAAATAAAGATAAGATATTTTACTTTTAGGTCAACAATTAATGTTATAAAGAAATACTCAATTTTTTTCTAACTGCCAAAACATTGACACATTTGTATATAAATTGTCAAAATAACACATTACAATTGATAATTCTACATACTAGCACCATAAATATTTAGACTAAGGAAAAATGCATCAATATGACATTTCAGGTTTCTTGGAAGTGTGAAAAAGAATTTCAGTAATTTAGCCAGAAAGCAAAAAAAAAAAAATTAAATAAATAAATAAAAGAAAGAAAGCCAGAAAGAAGTTTGGACTATGTAGTAAGAAAATGAAGTTTTTACCTGGATTCTCAAATTTTTTGAAAGTAGACAGTTCTGTTACCAGTGATGTCCAAAGCTATACTCTATCCCTGAAACTGGAACCCTTTTACTTGCATCAAATTCATGTCCTTTCTCTCTATTTTTCCTCATCTTTTCAGCTTCTCAATTTGCTATTATTTTGTATTATAGTATTAAACTATTTCATGGTTTAAGATGTTCTCTGGTTTCAGTAAATTGTATGTATATTTGCATTAATATTATTTAGAAGATTTCAAGAACTGTTGTGCTACAATAATTTACTTAAAGGGGCTGGAGTAGTAGCAGTCTCAGTGTGTCTTCTGAAAGTCTTCTCCATGTGTGCATTATTTTACATTGCATTGCACTGTACTGTATCGTATGTCATTGTGTGACATTACATGACATTGAAGGACCTACTGAGTTGCATTGCATGGCATTATCTTACTGCACTGCACATTTCTGAACCATCTTGTACTGTATTACATTGTCCTACTGAATAGGGAAATGATTTCCGACCAGAAGGAGCCTGTGCTGTAGCTAACTGGGTAGGAAGCAAAGCCTCCTCCTAGCTCTGACCCCTCCCATACCTAAAACATATCCAGATCTCACTCAGACTTGCTGGACATGTTACATGTTTTCCTCTATTATCCTTTGTTCTCAGTGGAGTTCCTGTGACCCCTGCTTCCTGCCATATGTAAATAAAGTGAATCCTAGTGTACCTTTCTATCCAATTGTATAAACTGAAGGTATCTACTTCACCCAATGAACTAAAGCTAAGTGTCTTGTCACTTACATTACTTATCCTCACCCCCCTTTTTTCCAAATCTATATAAACCTTGTTCACCACTCAGACGGGTCTGATCGCTTTGTGGAGAATTCCCTGATCAGTCTGCTAGCGAAATAAACCTGCTTCCAACTTCCGGGGTGTGTGCTCCATTCTTCTCAGCCTGACTCTGTTATACTACCTAGAGCTACAACACTGAGTTGTATTTGCTACAATATGACATGCCATTCTAGTCTAATATTTTAACTACAAAAGACACTTATAAAGTTGGCAAATCTGAGAGACATTCAAAACAATCAGTGAGAGGGAGAAATAGAGGTCCTCAATATGGAGTTCTTACTCTAAATACCTTAAAGAGTTCTTGATGACAAATTTATTTCCTCATTTTGAATTGTCTTCTGTGGTTATTCATTTTGCAGGCACCAGTTCACTCCCATGAAACTACTAATGTGCAAATAAGTTTATCAAATATACAACAATGGAAGAATATTGAGGAAATCTCTTTTCAATTTGTATGGGCTGCTTCTTCAATTTTATGAAAGCACTTTAAAGGACTTTATGACATTTTAATGTGACTTCTCAAAAAATAAACTAAAGCTCTTTAAATAAAATATGGTTCCCTTCTAGGTATCTCACAGCTACTTTTCATGGGTCTTGGCAATGCTTTACCCTACAGTGAACTCTCAGAGAAAGGATTGTCGAGAGAAGAGGTATCTATGACCACAAGGGTTGCTTTTGTTGCTATAAACACAAAGTATAGTAGAATTACTGGAGAACAGGTAAGAAAAAGATTCTAATTTTTATCCCTACTTGAAAACCATCATATATGTTCTTTGGCAAAATAACTAAACAGTCTTACCACCTGACTATATTACTCAAGGTTATCCAAAGTGATAGAATCAAACAGATCTGCATGTGTGTGTGCACATGTGTGTGTTAGAAAGAGAAAGACAGAAACAGAAAGAGATTCCACCACTAATTCTATTTCTCTAGAGAACCCTTACTAATACAAATTCATTCAATAAAAATATTCTTTTTTGGTATACATCCTTGTCTCTACAACTTTACTCCTGTTGAACTTCTCTTCTCTATTAAATACTTAGATCTTTGCTACCGAGTCATAAAAGAATGACTTCTCCAGGAAAATTTCCATGACTATTCCAATTCTCTATCATCACATTTTCCTTTAGATTTATATCACAAATATATGATATTTAATAACATTCAAAGAAAGCTATAAAATATAGGGAGGGAAAACAATAGCGCTTACTTTATTTGGCATATATAAAGATTGATATCCTATACTGAAATAGGAAAAGCATATTACATTGTTAAAATAATACATTCATTAGCATTTTATCAGACACTTGCTGTATTTTTTAACAATAGAAAAATAAGTAAAACTTTTCACTTACAGGGGGGTAGACAGCCTTAAAGCTGAAGTATTATAGTCCATTGATATTAATAACAATAGAAATCCGGAAAATAAACTACATAAAATTAATTTAGAAGTAATGCAATAGAATGCTTACAGACATATGCAGCACAAATTCACAGATGTATTAGGCATGCAAATATGTTTTTATTTAAAAGTTAATGATGACAAGGGCTCATGTATGCTAATCATGAAACTGTATAATAAATTTACCTGAGTCTTCCTTAATAGACATGGGGGATAGTTCTGATAGTTCTGATAGTTTGTGAAAGAATCCTTTATTTTGATTTGTCTCTTTCTGAGAATTATCATCATTTCCATTTATAATGGAAAATAAAACTGTACCTACAATAAATAAAAATAAAATGTCAATTAACCAAGGAGTAGTTTTGGAAATGAAAGCATACTCTCAGGTGGCCGAATCAGCCCGCTGCAAACAGGCATGTCTGCGCACGCCATAACGAGGTCATCAGTCGCGCAGAACATGCTGAATCAGCCCAGACCCCAGCAACAATCCACTGGACACCCCCCTCCGCTCCTCTGTACAGCTACCTGGTTCCACACTACAAAGACGCAGAGGAAACCGGACCACCAGAACACGGTACTGAGTCCCGCTGCACCCGGCCCAGAGGTAGGGGCTTCTGAACCGCCATCCCACTGCTCCTGGTCCAGAGGAAGGGGCTTCCTGGCCACCATCCCTCCCACTGTCCCCAGCCCACAGGAAAGGGCTTTTGGGCCACCATCCCTAC